TCGTGGGTAGCAGCAGCACATACTGGAAAATGGGTCCGGCGTCTCAGTCTCATACTTGAGAGTAAGTTTCTGAGAACTACTGACTGATTAAGAGCTCAAAGCCTCAAAGGGAAGGCAAGACAGCCTGAATAGCTATGAATACATGAGAATTATGAGAGCAGGATGAACTGCCTGCCTGAAGCCACCGTTTTGAGCCACTGAACAACACACAAGAATATCTGCCTGCTGACTGTCTCAAACGGCCATGAACAACCATTTCGTCAAAATGGACATTTTTTATTTTTTGAACGAAATTGAAACCGAGTTTTTTGGCCCAAAACTCGTCAAAATTTGCGGCTCCTGAGGGTCCGGCTTTTGTAAAACGGACCCCCTGGCTGTACATGGACCTAGCTTGAGACCAGGTATCTCCAGGCAGGACTGCCTGGAGGTACCTGGTCTCAAGCTAGGTCCATGTACAGCCAGGGGGTGGAGGTACCTGGTCTCAAGCTAGGTCCATGTACAGCTAGGGGGTCCAGCGTTTTACCCTCAGGAACAACAAATTTTGACGAGTTTTGGGCCAAAAAACTCGGTTTCAATATCGTTCAAAAAATAAAAGATGTCCATTTTGACGAAATGGCAGTTCATGCCATTTAAACTGACTTTTTTTGGTCCGGGCCCCCGTTATGGTTAAAAATGGGAGGTTTGTGTTGTGTGCTATTTAGACTTCCTTTGTGTTTTGGGAGGGCAATGTTTGTGGTAGACATCACCTTGCCAAAAGACGAAAGGAAGTCACAAAAAAGCACAGGAAAAATCTTTCCATTTTCAACCACAGACATCACCCTGAGGTCCCAAACTTACGCAAAGAAAGTCACAAAACGAAAGTCATGAATGAGGAATCTGGGCAAGAGCAACCTCCCAAAAAATGACAGTAGAGATCACCGTCCCAAAACGCAAAGAAAGTTACGCACAAATCTTCCATTTTCAAATACAAACAGTTTCTTTTACGGGAAAAAAAAAAAGTCAGTAGACATCACCCTCCCAGAACCCAAAGAAAGTCGCAAAAAGCACAGCAAAAGTCTTCCATTTCCAACCGCAAACAGTCTTCTTTAAAGTGTAAACCAAAAAGAAAAGTGTCAGCTCTAACAGAATGATGGGTCTTCTCAATGAAAATAAGATTTGCCCTTCCTAATTAACAATCTTATGCTGTTTGGCAGTGTTTGCACCTTCGAATTTAGAAGAGACAGAAAGGGAGAATGGCAGTGAATACTCTGTGGGGCACCAGAGCCTGAGAGCCATTCTCTGTCAGCCATCCCTTACTTTCCAGAAGGCTATATATACACACAGAAGAGGTAGAACCAGCCGAAAAGGGGAGAGGGGGAGATAAGTTGACCGCCCATCTTTACTACCTCGTTTACCTTCCCTCCTAGCTCCACCCAACTAGTGGCCTTCAATCGGCTCCATTTCATTTCCAGAGAAGTCCAGAGGGGTAGGGCATAGGACTGCCTCCAGAAAACAGCTCCTTTTCCATACTGCTTTACAGTTCATTATTGGGCCTCGGCAAAGCAAGAGCACCGCCTGAAACAGCGAGCTCATTAGGAAAGAACAGTAGGGCAGAGGACTGCCTCTAGAAAACAGCTCCTTTTCCATACTCCTTTACAGTTCATTATAATTGAGCGTCTGCAAAGCAGGAGCACCGCCTGAAACAGGGAGCTCATTAGAAAAGGACAGTCGAATGGGTATTGTCTCCTTAATTACCCTCCATACCACTGGAGATCAACCAAAGAAGATTCATGAGGAGGAAACAAACCAGGGAAGTCGCCCGGGGGGTATAGGGTGGGTGTGGGAGGGGCGGGGAGCGTGAGGGAAAGGA